AAATTTATTAGATCTTGTAAAGAATGACTACATCAAAACCAAAAACCCATCATAGTTGCATTTTCACTCAAACAAAACAATAAAGACAAGATAATGCTTATCTATCGAGTACAAAAGATAAATTTTTGAAACTGAAAAAAAAAAAAAAAAAAAAAAAAAAGAAAGATACGCTTACATAAACGCTGATTCGAAATGTATAAACCTGTAACACTCACTTCTTCTCTAAGCAGAATTTCTTCATAGTTCATGATATTTTGAAGGTTAAAGAAGGAATACTCATTCTTTGAGATGGAAGTGAAGCTTGACAGATCATAACACAAAGATAAAATATTAGTCAATAATGACAACACATATATAATAATTATAATAATTAATAAGAACAATAGTAATAATAATAAATCAAATAAAATAATAATAATAATAATAATAACAACAGTACCCTAAAAAAATTCTAATCGCAACTCTATATACAAAATCAACCATAACTTAATATAATAAAAACAAATAAAATCAAAAAAAAAAAAAATTGGAAAAATTAATCGCAAAATAAAACTAACCTCAGATTGTTTCGAAACAGGCTCACCTGAGTGCAAAGCGAGTGGGGTGGCGGCGTCACGCGGGCTGGTGTCAGGAGGGGCCGGAGCGGCGCTGCGGACGGAGGAGAGGAGAAGAGAAGGAGAAGAGAGAAAGAAGAAGAAAGAAAAAAGAAAGGGCCCGGCGCTTAAAGCCCTAATTTTTGCGACCGACTCATCGGTCGCAAATTTTATAACTATCGGTCGCAATTTTTAATGAGCCGACGTCATTTGACTTTGCTCAAAATTTGCGACCGATTTGCGACTAAATATATCGGTCGCATGTTCCGCAATGTAGCTTTCCAATCGGTCTCAGAAACTTTGCCCCATTTTTTAACTGCGTGTAAAGTTTGCGAACAGGAAGAACGCTAGTTATGCACATCGTGTGGCAAGAATTGGTCGCAAATCCGTAGTACCTAGGTCCGCCAAATCATCATTCCTGCGGGATTTTCAGCGCAAAATTTCTGCGACGTTATCTTTAAGTGCGAATTGGTTTCAAAACTGGCGAACCGAATCCGAAGTGGTCGCCAAATCGGTCGCATTTGCGCGTCTTTTGTTTTGTAGTGGTATGTCATCAGATGGAAATGGTAATTCTGGCCATTTCTATGTGATATTCAGGTGGATGCAGTCATGGTGGTTCTTGCAATCAAGTAATTCTTGTCCCATCCTCGGGAAATAGAAGGGATTGTCTTTCCGCGGCCATCTCGGTATGGCTGAAGAACTGAGCTACACCAGCCCGGCATTCACTCATGGTATGATTGACACGGATAGAAATGTGAAACCGCCCATCTTAAAGCGTGTGACCTGACCCAAACAAGACAAATTTTCTTTGTATTATTTATTTTAGGAGTAAGGGCTCAATTAGGTTTTAATTAAAATTTACCTATTAAGAGGTCTGGAAACAATTTCAGTTTTGAGTGCTACTGAACCGAAACTTGTTAAGAACTTACCTGAATCAGTATGACAGGGCAATTTAGTATCCCACTAGAGCCAGGCACATCAAAAAGAAGCTCATCCAAGAAAGGAAATGGAGGTTGAAGAGCATCGCCGGACTGATCAAGACTGACATTAGCATCAGCTTCAATAAACAAAACACCTTCACCATTGCAATCCATAATGAGCTTACGGTTAGGCCCTTCTCTAAGCCTGCCAGCGAATGGATATAAAAACAAGAGATTTAGCAAGTAGCATTTCTAATAACCTCGAAACGGCGTGCTGTTCCTTCATTTGAAGGGTATTGACGATAAATTGTATGGCTGGATATGGATTCGAAGACCTTCTTTATCACTCAATGGTCCGATAGATGGCTTGAACTCATGAGGGGATAGCTCTTGAAGGTGTGATTAGTATCCGGTTCAACTCTGAACCTTGGAAAATAGGGCGGAGGTGATGCCATTTAACTAGGCAGAGCCATTAACTAGGCAGAAAACGAACACCAAGTTAGTAATCAAGTACAAAGACACAGCTCTGCAGATAGGTGATCTTGACATGGCGATATGCATTTATTTATAGGACCAGAAGAAGATAGTCATATGACAATTTTCCACACACAGAAAATTCACGAGATAACGTGTAATCTTTTTATATGATGATTTTTTTTTTCATTTGAAAAGGAAATATTTCTGATAGAAAAAATAAGTGTATATAATTTTAAAAATAATTTCTATTTTCATTCAGGTTTTTCGAGATTTTTTCGCTTAACATTTATAGATAGATTAGAATTTTTTTTGGTAAGCCTAATGGCTTAGGTATAGTTGTCTTCGAATATTAAGTTTTTCCTGTATATGTTATAAAATTAATAAAATATTTCATTTGCTGATAAAAAAAAAAAAAACATAACAACTGATATATATAAAAATACGAATGGAGGAATATTTAGTTTTTAAAATGCTCTAACTAAATTTATGGATCGACAAAAATATCTTAAAAGATTTTAAATCTATTGGTTGAAAAAATAAATATAATTTTATTTTGATTGGTTATTAATTTTCCATTTAAATATAAAACTTTAATTAATATATACACCCTACTAAATTTATAGATCATTGAAAAAATAAAGATAATTTAATAGATTAGTAGTTTTAATTGGTTTCCTTTATAGTCTCCAGAGCGAAACAAAAATAAAAACAAAGAGATAGCCAAATTAGAAGAGGTGTGGCAATGTCGACCAATTATAATAATATTCTTGTTGCTTTTACTTTTTTTTTGGCATATTTATTATTTTCATAATTAATATTCTTTAGGTAATACCTAACCTAACCTTGAATCATTTTGACAAACCGGGGGTTTCAGTACCAACGATTAATAAAGTTAAATTAATGTAAATATTATTCTGAACTTTAAATATAAACTCTTTTGTTAGTATATATGTCCATGTCAAATTTATAGATTGATTCTATTGGTTGAAAAATAATAAAATATCTTTATAGAGATTCAATCATGAATTTATGCTTTCTCATTTTATTTTAAGCGAGAGGCATAATTATTATTGAAATGTGAAAATACATGATCATGATAGGTTCCTCACAATAGTTCAAGGGATTACAAGGATAATCGTCGAAACTACAAAATTAAATTTATGCATTGGACCTTTACAATTCTACCGTGGAATAATTTTGTCTTATCTTATCAATATATGTGTGTGTTTAGTTTAATTATTTTTAGCTATCAAGAATTTATTTATCTTTTCTATTAATAATTTTTCATTTTGCTACCAAGAATATGTTCTTATTGGCTAATAATCGTTTTATGTATAACTGTTGTGCTACTTAATCTTTTTTTAATAATTTTATAGGAGATTATTGAAGACCAAACTGATGTTCAACACGATGATACTTACAAAAAGAATGACGTAATAGAATATTAGAAACAAGAATGAATTTTTAAGAAAAATAATATTAACTTATGTTAAGATAAATATTATATTTTGTTATCTGTTTATTTTTATATTTTATTTTAGAAAATAGTTATTACCTTCTCTAACATTCAAATTCTGAATTAAGATAATAAATAGTTGATACACCTAAGTTAGCTAACGATTTAATTATTTGTAATATTGAATATTCAAGATGTAATAAAATAAAATTTTGCTAAAAATAAGATAAAATATTCATAATATTAATAGATGATTTCATTGTAATATATCAATTTAGATTTATTTTAGCTTCACACTAACACAACCTAGCTGCTACTGGTAATGGTTTCAGCCTGAATTTCACTAAATCTTATAAATTATATACTAAATTAAGGAAAATATTGTGAGAACTATGAATATGGTTATTTATTTCAAATTTGATTAACTACTTGGCCAAGTCTGACCTTAAATAGTAACCCTATGACCCTAATTATAGCTTAGCTCAAATCAATCCATACAACTTGACTTAAAACTAATCGAGAAAAATGGTAAATTCACAAGAGCTTTATAGATATACAACAATCAAAATATAAGTAAAAACAACGAGCAATATAAAATGGAAAAAAATGTATGTGCAAACGTAAAAATTATTAAGACTATCAATTATTTAAGCAAATGAATTTACTATTGAAAATTTAGGAAAAGTAATAACAACTTAGGATAATTAAAATTAAATTTTAAAAAATATTATTATTATATAATAAAAGTAGTAAAAAATAATTATGAGTAAAAACAACGAGTATAAACACATGCAACACACGTTGAAAAATTAAGACTAGTAATTATAGATATTAAAATGTAAACTTTTACAGAGATGTGCATTATGGAAATCAAAATCCATTTTCAAATTTTTGGATCCAACAAAATTCAATATAAATTTAACAATTTCGTTTAAAAAATAATTACTCATTGAGGTAATAATAATATAAAAAATAATATATTTTTTAAACTATAAAACAGACAATTAGAACAGATTTTTCAACATAATTATTTTTTCTATTATTCTACCCGACGATGTTAAGTAAATTATTTCATTCAAGTGAAAAACAAAATAGTTCCAATTATATAATATGATATAGTATTGTATTATTAACTTTAGTCTATAAGTGATATAGTACACGTCATCAATCTAAGAATTTCTCTTTTGTGAAGATTCTTAAGAGAAGTATCATCTTCTCAATGGGCACGGTCGTGGTGAAGCCACGGTTGCCCCTTCTTTTTTTCAAAGAAATTAGATTCAATAACCTCCACAAATTTTATAAATATCAGATAAATACTTTATCATTATCCCTTAGTAAAATACTTGCGGTGACTATTTACTTGATCCATGAGAATTAAACCTTTGATTTTACTTAATAGCGAAAAGTGATGGATTACTTACTCTTAACACTCATTAGTCAAATTTATATTTTTTTTAAATACAGATCTAAGTTATTGTTATTTAAATATTAGAATTTATTGTTCAATATAACTTGATATTTTGTTGTCAAATATATTACAGATAAATTCATAAATTTCTGCATTACACTATAAATTTATTTTATTATTGTATAAATCATCCAACATAATTTTAGAATTTTTAGTTTTAAATAGCAACACCTTCACCTTCCTTTCACATCTACAAGGCAGATTTAGTGGTACCGCCACGCAACACCTTCACCTTCCTTTCACATCTACAAGGCAGATTTAGTGGTACCGCCACCAATGGATAGGTTCTCTAAAATACTCTTAAGCTCCATTATAAATCTCTCCATTGCTTGAGCAGGCAACACAATTGGCAGAATAATCCCATTTTCTCCTTTTTTTTATTTTTAAATGGTAGATAAAAGCTAACAACTCTTGCCCATCGTAAAATAATTGTGGATCCCGTTTATAAACAGATTAAAGTTGTATAAATAGAATACAAGCAAGTAGAACTTCAGAAAGTAAAAGAAGATAAACATAGATATTTATAGTGGTTCGGCACTAACTCCCTTACATCCACTCCCCAAGATGCATCTTAAGATCCTCTACTATGTTATCTCTTTTCAAGGGTAAGAGAAAAACCAACAATATAAGAAAATAGATCAACACCTAGATCTAATATTTATCCCACTAGATTTTTCAAAGGTTCCAGTCAACCTCAACCCTTTCTGTTTTTGTAGAGAACAGAAATGTTTTTGTAGAGAACAGAAATTCAAATCATAACATTAGAATCTCATACAAGGAGAAGGTCGCTTGATAACCTATTACACCATAACTTTTCACCTAAGCTATTACAAAAGTTTTTCAAATAAAGAGTATGTCTATAACAGATTACAAAATTTATATAGACAGAGAGAAATGCAAATATAAGTACAGGAAGAACAGAAAACGAATTTAGAAAACAGATTTAAAGATCAGAACTGTTTTTTTAGAAAATATTATTAATAAATTTTCTATTCTCTTAAAAATTTTTCTTGAAACAAAACGACGAAAAGAAATAGAGGGATTGAAGAGAGATTTTTGAGAGATTTAAATTTTGAATAATGGACTCGTACTCTTTGCAAAACCCTTTCTTTTTTCAAGAGGAAATGTTTTTTATATGAAACGATGATATTCTCTTTTGAAGTTAACGTTGAGATTATTGCTTTAATGAACAATAAAGTTTCTGACATTTTTAACTAAAGAGGTAATGCATGGGTTGTAATTAAAAGGGCTGTCAAAAGGTCTGTCAGACCATATTTAATATTCCACACGGAATGTTTTGGAGGTGAAATGTTTAGTGTTAGAAAAACAGTGTAACTTTTACAGCAGACAGCCAGCTGTATTAGAAAGCTGTATTAAATCAGAAACTGCTTTTTAGATCAGAAAATGTTTTTGCAGAATTTCATTTAATAGCCGCCAAGAATATTTACTCCAAAAATATTTTAGTTGGGAAAACGTGAAGAGTAAAAATTTTGGCTATATCCTCTTAATAAATTTAAAAAAAAAATATTTCAAAACAATTTTGAGACGGATATAAAATAAATTTATGCTTATAAAATTATTTACTCTCTATCCTACAATAATTTCCTAAGACTTATTATAATACTAACCAATAGAAAATATCTTCATGGTCTTCAAATAAAAATATTGGAATATCTTCATGGTCTTCAAATAAAAATATTGGGTTGTAGGAACTTCATTTCTTCAATAATTTTTATATTTTAAAAATCTGCATAAAATAATATTATCACATACAAGAATATTAAATTTATTTATTTTGTATAATCATCAAAATTTCAAAATAAAATTGATCCTTGAACCAACAATAATTAATAAAATGGATAAGTATATATATCTCTCTCTTGTACAGTACGTTAACATATTCAAAAATATCATTCATCTTTATTTAAAATTTACTCTTGAATTTTATTATTTTAATTTTTTAGCATTTTCAATTTTTATTTTGATTATTTAATATTTTAATTTATAAAATTACATCTTATATATTTTAACTTGTAAAATTAAATTAATTAAGTATTTATTAAATGAATGATTAAAAAAAATAAAAAGCTATTGATAAAAAATTAAGTAAACCACATATCTACGTACACTTCAAAGCTGAAAGCAAGTGAAATTGAAGAATTTCCAGATTGCCCTTCATTAATGCACTGTAAAGTATTTATAAAATCTATACTAATTTAATTTAAAGTAAATACATTTCTGCTTCATAAAGTCCATTATGGAAATTATTTGCCTAAACGGGTCCATTACAAATAACAACAATATTACCACTTAACCTACAAAGCAGACATAATAAGGGAGGATCTATTCACATCAATAACTGTGTTATCGTCCAACAGATTCTTCAGCTCCTTCACAAATCGTTCCATTGCTTGGGCTGGCAGACAAATTGGAATTACGATTCCCTTTTCACCTTTCTTACGTTCAAAGGGCACGTAAACGCTTGCTACTAAAGGAATGGCTTTCGCAGGCCCGCCATAGATTGCTTTGCCCCATCCAAAATCGACTTCTTTAAACCCTGCATGTTATAGAAGTGATATGAGAATTAGGTATTCTTCTATTTCTTCACAGAGGAAGATGACAGTAGATATATATACATTCAGCCTATAGCTGTGATCCCACAATTACGGGATGATCCCACAGTTACGGGATATGATAGGCATATATAAAGTTACTATAAATAATAATGATTCTGTTTATTCTGTTTTACACTATACATTATCTATAACACCCCGCAAGATGGCGGGATTCTTGGAGTTAACGCCAATCTTGTTTCTGTTTTTGAGAAAATTGAGGACGTGGAGAGTGCCTTGGTGCAGCAGAATCCGCAAGTTGATCCTCAGACTGACATGTGCAACTCGGAAGTCCCATCTAAACCCGCAAGTTGATCCTCAGACTTGACATGTGCAACTCGAAGTTTCCCTTCTTGAACTTGAGTCCGAACAAAGTGATAGTCGATAGCTATATGTTTCATTTTGGAGTGAAAGACTGGGTTGGCAGCTACATATGTAGCACTAAGATTGTCACAGTAGACCAGTGGTGGATGCAAAGTAGAAATCTTTAAATCAGTGAGAGTATTCATAACCCACGAAAGCTCAATAGAATCTCGCCACTGTCTTTTGTTTCTTCGAGCTCCAAGCAATCGGATTACGTCCCAAGTATAAGATGTGAGCACTAGTAGAGGTGCGGTCATCTCGGTTACCCACCCAATCAGAGTCGGAGAAAGCATGCAAGTCAAGAGACGACTGTCTATGCAGAAAAATGCCAAAATCAAATGTGCCAACAAGATACCGAAGAAGCCTTTTTAGAGCTGCCCAATGGTTGACTATAGGATGAGAGCTAAATTGGGACAATTTATTGACGACATAACAGATGTCCGGTCGAGTCAAAAGCAAGTATTGTAGACTGCCAAGTAGAGCTCGATACGCAGAGGCATTTGTAGACTGCCAAGTAGAGCTCGATACGCAGAGGCATTTGACAAGTGAGCAAAATCATCAAGAAAGAGAGATGTTGTTGGAGACAAGGGTGTGTTAACTGGATTGGCTCCTTCCATTTTTGCCTTTTCCAAAATTTCCCTCATGTAGTTTTGTTGAGAAAGAAACACCCCCGTGGGTAGGTGAGTGACCTCAACCCCTAAAAAATACTGTAAATCACCCAAGTCCTTAAGTGAAAACTTAGAGCAAAGTTTGAGAATAAAAGCCTCCACATCCATAGGTTGATTACCGGTAATAATGATGTTATCAACGTAGACAACAACATAAATGAGCACTTGACCCTTCGAGTATATGAACAAACAAGTATCCGAGTGGGAGTTAGCAAAGCCGAGGTCCTTTAGATACTGTTGTAATGCATAATACCAAACACGTGGAGCTTGCTTGAGACCGTAGAGGGATTTATTGAGACGACAAACATGAGAGGGGTTCGTACTATCAATAAATCCCGGTGGTTGATGCATGAACACTGTTTCTGTGAGTTTGCCATGGAGAAAGGCGTTATTCACATCGACTTGCCGTAATTTCCAACCACGAGTGACAGCAATGGTGAGAACAAGTCGAATTGTTGTGTGCTTGGCAACGGGAGAGAATGTTTGATCAAAATCCAAACCGGGCCTTTGAGTGAAACCACGAGCAACCAACCTAGCTTTGTAAGCAACCAACCTAGCTTTGTATCGGATAGGAGTACCTGCAGAATCAATTTTTACTCGGAAAAGCCATTTACAGCTCACCAAATTCTCAGCTGAAGTAGACGAAACAAGTGTCCATGTATGCTGATTTAGTAAAGCAGCATACTCGTCTTCCATGGCCTGACGCCACTCAGGAACTTTGAGAGCCTGCACAACAGTTCGGGGAACAGATATCTGGGATAATGAAGGTCCAGCAGTCGCAAGACATAATTTTTGAATGGGTTTATGAATATTGTTTTTACTGCGGGTGACCATTGGGTGAGTGATGAGAGGAACAACAGTCGAATCCCTTGGCAAAGCACCAGCAAAATTAGTGGAATGAGTATTAGAATCAGTAGGGGCAGGAGAAGTACCTGAGGTGGCAGGTTGCTGTGTCATGGAGTTGCGCGAAGGACGAGGCACAGAGGACAACAATGGTGAAGAACCGCCTAGTGATGGTGTGTGTGTAGATCTTGATGGTGTCTCGAACCGGTGATGCGGAAGAATAACATGTGGTGCCCAATTGGCAACCGTAGATTCAGTAGACCGTTCAGTATTGCTTAGACCGTTCAGTATTGCTGTCCAAAGTTGCAAATGGAAAACTTGTTTCAACAAAATCCACATGCCGAGAGATATACAATTTTTGAGTTGTCGGATCAAGACACTTGAAGGCACTCTGATTGGTGGAGTATCCCACAAAGATACATGGACGAGATCTTGGTTGCAGCTTGTTAGAGTTGTAAGGACGTGTCCAAGGATAGCAACGATAGCCGAATACCCTCAATTTCTCATAGTTAGGAGCATAACCATGTAGCCATTGAAAGGGAGATTGATTGTTTAACACAGAGGTGGGAAGCCTGTTTATGAGATATGCAGCCTGAGATATGCAGCCGGTTTGGAATGCATAAGACCCAAAAAAGATAATGGCGAGATGACAACATTGTAACATTTGTAATTCCCAGTTTCAAACAATGTGGCGGATGACGCCGTCAGCAGTGGCATTATGTCAGGGTTATGGTGGAGATAAAGATAGTGGGAGATACCATGATGTGAAAAAAGATGTTAAGTGGTTAAAAAAACTCCCCTCCATTGATTCAGAAGTAGAGAAGGATCGATTTTCTTCTTAAAATGGTTTCAACTAATTTGCTTAACAAACAGGGAATATGTGA